CGGATGCTGGTTCTGACATACATTTTCATTCTCGAGTAAAGACCTACCTGAACCAAATTTGCATGGATGATGCATCTAGGGATGAACACTACCAGACTTGCTTTGGATGCTGGGTCTGACCTACATTTTCATTCCCAAATAACTATAAGCCCTACCTGAACCAAACCTGCATGGATGATGCATCTAAGGATGGACACTACCAGACTTGCTTCGGATGCTGGATCTGAACTATTTTTTCCAAACAAGAGACCAGGTTAAAGTTTTTAGAACAGATCAATCCCAATTAACTTCTTAGTCTTAGATAATGCAGTATTAACAAAGTTATGAATATTTGTTTAGACTATATGTATGTGTTTTTCATGCTAGACGTGTAGAAATGTGTATAAGCCATATAAGGGGTTAAACAGAACTTGCAAGAATATTGTTATCGGGATAAATACTAACTATTAAGAAAATATGATGCAAGATTTGCATTACTTACACTGATAACATTCGTCGAGGTGAGCTTCGTAATCTTTGATTACCTATGTTTTTATTAGGCTGCACCTTCGTTTCATTTATAAAAAATATAATGAGCAATTACATTTGCACTAAAAATGTTTTAGCATTTCTCTCTTCTCTTAGATCCATAAAATATTCATGATTCAGCACTTCTGAAAAACCCAGCGGGGTACTTTGTCCCGTTTGGACAGTTCTAGTTTCTAAATAAATGTACTGGTTCATCAATAGGCGCGGTTAAAAAAAATCACGTGCAGGGCGGAACAAATAGCTAGACAGAAGCAGGGCTTGTAACACGTGGATTGGTTGAATGAAGAGCATGTAATTATAAGGAATAACCGTCAGATTTTTCAATTTCATGATGATGATCATTGATCACATCATGAAATCGAAAAATAAGACAGTTATTCCTTAAATACAATCAATTTTTGAAAAGTAAAGTATACAAGTCATTTACCCTTTACTTAATGGAACCTGTCATAAGGACACAAGGGAGCGTAAAATCATATAAAATCCACATGTATCATTGAATCCAAACTCTTATATCGATTTTTTAAATCACACCAATCAGTCCAACTAATTCCTAAGTTGACTTAAATAAGAATGATTTTGAAAACTCTGGTACAAGTCATTTACCCCATATAATACTGTTGATTATGTGCAGATACCCGATGGGCGTGATCATAATGACAGCTCGGGAGCTACGCTCCCTCGTGTCATTATGACCACGCCCATCGGGTATCTGCACAGCTCGGGAACTACGCTCCCTCGTGTCATTATGACCACGCCCATCGGGTATCTGCACATAACCAACAGTATTATGTGAGGTAACTACTACGTATATTCCAAAAATAAACATGGAGACCAGTGGTATTGACGTCCAGGCATGATAAGCGTGTACCACTTAAAATGTCAGCATGTTTCAAGTTTCGTGTTCTCTGATCTGAAAGACACGTATATAGCTGCAATATCGATATAGCAGTAGAATCCCTGCGTATATGACAACATGATCGTATTCTCGTACAGAAAGACAATATATTATTACAAGTACTAAGAAGAAATTAATTTTAAGCTCAATGCAAATGAGATTCTTACAATACAGTCACATTGATAGGTACTGTTCTTTGATATAAGACTGTCAAAGCGAGAGAAGGGAGGTGTGGTATAGGGTGTTGTTGTACATGAATAAGTGAATATAAATAAAACGCTACGGCATTTTTTTGCTTTAAAGTCGTTTGCACTAACTCGCATAATATCACCAATAAACTAGAGGGAGGTGTGAAGTGTTGTTGTTGAATTGAATATAAATAAAACGCTGTCAAATAACTAGAATTGAATTGATTGAATAAAACATTAACACAATACATATTTAATGTTTGACTTCATATTTTTGTTTTTAAAATTAAGCCATAAAAGCCATAGGCTAGGCCCTACCTATCCTATAAGTAGCGCATTCACTAGGTCTATATTGTCAAGGAAAATTGAACCATTGACCAAGTTGGACTCTTGATAATAAAAACAATGTTGTAAATAAATGCCCTGCATATAAAAGTGAATTCATTCACACTCTCCCATCTTTCTCTCTTTCGATTGCTTAAATTGTCCTTTCTCTCCATCGATCGAAGTGTCAAACGATGAAAATAATCACTGACTGGTAAAACATGGCAAAAATCTTGCAACTATGCGATGAAATTTATAAAAAAGAAATACTAGCCTGTTTGAAGATCGTATGATTACACAAGGTTTCAGTCATGATTATGATATTTCTTAAAATTAAGCTGCAAAATGACATGACAGTTTGTAAACATTGCATAGCTTTGAACAGGGACTGGGCCTTTCTGACATCATAGGCTATGGGAGATAAGCAACGTAAGTCAAGGCTCATTTTCCCGATTGAGTAATTTTGATCACCTGTGTTGTCGCTATCTTGCATTAAAAAGCTAAATAACATTTTCAATCTTGTATTATCAGCTGAGATAAAGTTATTCCCGTATGTAACTCAATATGTCCAGGTATTTGTTTCTTATGACCTTTAAAACGACTTTCAATTATTTTACGTCAATGATGGATATCAAAATAATCGTTTCATTATGCACAATCTTAATTCTTCAATTGAATTTTTGATACTTTTACTTTGTTTTGATTTAAAAAATCGGTTTTCAAAACCCTAACAAGTTCTGAAAGAACTTCAAAGCCATTGATAATTTACCAGTGACTCGGGGTACAAAGTCATGACACCTATTGTCTTTTTCACTGACCGCTATACCTTGTTTATTTAAATCAATCAAAATGGTTATTAGATACATTCATTTCTGCATTTTTAACTTAAAAAAAAAAAAAATTCCATACAATATCATGTTACATCTGTGCAAAATACTTTAGGTCATAAGCAATCTTTGTGTAAAATGGGAACTCGCCACATTTATCCATAAAAAAGATATGGACCAGACACAAATTATTAACTTTTTCTGTCTATGACATTGAACTTGCATTAATGGCCTTGGTCCAAAGTCAATATATGACACACCCTCAGGTCATAAGCAATCTTTGTAAAACAGGAACCCTCCAAGTTTATCTCTAAGAAAGATATGGACAAGGTACAAATTATGAACCTTTTTCTTTCAGGGACCTTAACTTGCACAAATTACCTTGGGTCAAGGTCATGACACACTCTCAAGACATAAGCAATCTTTGTGTAAAACAGGAACTTACCAAGTTTATCCATAAGAAAGATATGTACCAAACATGAGTTATGAAATTTTTCTTTCAGTGACCATGAACTTGCACAAATGACCTTTGGTCAAGGTCATGACAGTTCATTTGTTGACCCCAGATTCCTTAAACACATAAAAAAGTGTCAAGAATGGACATCTTTGCTTTGTCAGAACCAAGTGAAGCATATCTCATGGTTGTAAAATGTTGGCAAATCAAACACAACTCATAATTGTGCCAGTACATGAAAAACCACAAAAAAATGCAAGTGGAGAATATTTCTTATTGTGTGTTTGATTAGAGAGCTAATGGCTAAGTGAAGAAGCTAGTGTACAATATCTTAGTGTGTACTGCCCTTACATCAAATTTTATGCCTGATCCCACCTCTGATTTTCTAGAGGTCCATGTTTGATCTGCTCCTGATTGGTATTGTTTATTGGACTTTTAAGATTAAATGCTGTTCCTTATCTCCATATCTTTCATGTAATAAGAAAGTTCAACCAATTTCACAAATATTTTTATTGATCAAAACACCATTTATTAAAAAAATAAACAAAATTATCATAATTAATCAGAAATACAGTCTACTTTTTAAACTGAAACAAAACAAAAAGTGTAGAATTGCACAAAGTTTTTTTTTTTTTAGTTGCCATTTCTAAAATGAACAAGAGGCCCACGGGCCTTATAGGTCACCTGAGTATCATGCCCTATCATTTAACCCTGCCCTAGCACTAGAACCCCTGACCCTGGGGCCATGAATTTCACAATTTTGGTAGAGGACTCAAAACTCATTACATTCATACTTACAGTTTGACTGCTTGATATCTAGGAGTAAAGAAGATTTTTAAAGATTTCATTAATTTTAGTGGTTTTGGCCCCACCCCTCAGGCCCCAGGGGGGCGGGGACCATGAAATTCACAATTTTTGTTCCCCTTCACCCATAGATGCTGTATACCAAATTTCGTTGAAATTGGTTCAGTGGTTTCAGAGAAGAAGTTAAAAATTTTCAAATAACACATGTAACACACGACACACGATGCCGGATGAAAACGGATAGCAATAGGTCACCTGAGTGACTCAGGTGACCTAAAAACCGCCTTGTGTTAAGTTTCACTCAATTCAGATCATAACTATTGGAAGATTAGTTTTTGAAAATTGCAATGAAATTTTAATATTCTGTATAATCATGGCAACATGATGCATTGAATCCTAGATCTTCTGTAGTATGTCCAAGGCCTAAAATAAAAAATGGTTTGTTTGCAGTTGCCGACCGACCCACTAAAAATGCACCCGACCCAAACTTTTTCTCAGCCGTTATTTGAGAAATTTTTTTGGAAGTTTCAAATTTTAAGGATGTTGAAACTTGTTGAATTTTTAATTTGTTAAATTTTAGTTTCTGTCAATAAGTGGCATAAAATAACTAGACCTTTATTTACATAAAATAACCCTTTGAAAATCTATGGCTTGTAATCCAACAAAAACTTTATAACTAAAATCTGTTAAAAAAAAAAAAAATCATACCTACCTACTGACCCACTCTAAAAATTATAGGTCGGCAACTGCAAACAAAGAATTTTTTAAGCTTGGCCCAATAAAGCTCTAAATATTGCTTAATATCTAGTAGTCTGGGGTAAGCATTATACTACAGTTTGATCTCTGTCATGTCCACAAACCTTGTGACATAATAACCAATGAGGTCTTCAGCTCCCCAGTAGTCCCCACAGTATCAAACTGTAAAAGGTTCACACGATATTAGTTAGACAATATTTTCAGTAAATCACTTTTTATCAAACTGTGAAAGGTTCACATGATTTTAGTTAGACAATATTTTCTTATGTCCCGAGTAGTTAAAACCTTTGCAATTTGTAAACAATAAATTTGCTGGTCAACGATGGATCCATGAACACTTCCTCAATATTCTTAGTAGTTTGTCCTTCTTCAGGGCTCCTCCGTCAGTGGTATAAGCTGGTATGTAGTATTATTTTTTTGTTTACAGTAAATCCAGTAGGCTCCAACCAAAATAACCAGGAAGAGTCCTGTCAGTGCTCCCAAAACAGCAACCCCCGTAAAGGAGTCCCCTAAAAGTAAGGAAAGTTCCTCTGGATTAACCATAAATAGCTAATATCTTTTTAAAATATTGTTGTAAACAAACAATAGTATCAACTACAGTACCGACCGGACACAACCTAACAGAAAGCGATTTGAGCGCACGGGTTGGCTCTCTGGCTCCGCTTCGGGTTCACTTGGGGTCTGCTAGGGCTGACCCCGAGCGAACCTGGAGCGCACCCAAAGCAAACCCGTAGCGGACCCCGAGCAAACCCAGAGAGCGAACCCCAAACTCAATAGCGGTCTCAGAGAGGGAACAGGCGTTCGGTATTTCTTTACAGAGTTGTCAATCAGGATTAGCGATTAACCAATCAGCGCGTCAACCTATCAAAATAGCATATTGATCCGTCGATTGGGATAAAAGATCGAACGTGTTGATTTAATTCGATATAAATCCAAACACTGTACATACAAGCAAAACGTGTGAATGTGCAGTATAGATCTATTATGATAATTAAACTATTATTTTAAATTTATTTTAATTCTCCGGGTTGTATTTTATATTTATATATATATTGTCTTTTTTTATTCAAGCAATTAATATATAAATTATATATTTTAATTTCCACGTAGAATGATACATGAATATTTACGTATTTATTTTCTTCAGATTTTTTTTATACCATTATTTAAAGTCCATGGGTAAATAAATTGGGTAAATTCATCAGTCAATGCGTAAAAAAGTAAATCAATAACTGGTATTACAATTTTTACTGACAAAAACAGGAGAGAAGAAAAATAGTTACTTTTTTGACAATTATTGTAAAATTTCATCATCTCAAGATACTTACTCTACAAGAATATTTACATGCCCATTATTCAATTATTTTATTTCCATTTCTCAATTTACGTATTCCTTTAATTATTCAAAATTCACATCAAAATTATTGATCTTCTTAACTGGGCATGAAAAAATTACATGCATATCTTCCTGTTTTTTTTTTTTTAAAAACAAGAGGCCCAGGGGCCACAGCGCTCACCTGAGCACATCAGCTAGAAAAAAAGCACATATTAGATCAGCACTGAAAGTTTACTGAGGTGGGGGGGGCTTGAATTTTAACCCCCCAGGGGTTCATGATTTGAACAAACTAGAATCTACACTACCTGAGGATGATTCCATATAAATATCACTAATCATGGCTTTGAAGTACTTGAAAGGAAGATTTCAAAAGGTTTCCCTATATATCCCTATGTAAAACTTGGGTCGGCCATTTGGCCCCACCCTAGTCCCAGGGGTCATGATTTGAACAAACTTGAATCTACACTACCTGAGGGTAATTTTACATGAGTTTCATCTTTTCTGCCCAGTGGTTCTTGGGAAGAAGATTTTTAAAGATTTTTCCTATATATATTCCTATGTAAACTTGGGTCAGACAATTTGGCCCCACCCTAGCCCTGGGGGTCATGATTTGAACAAACTTGAATCGCCACTACCTGAGGATGATTCCACATGAGTTTCATCTTTCCTGGCTGCCCCACTGGGATCCGGGTTAGAATAGGTCCTCAGTACCCCCTTGCTTGTCGTAAAAGGCGACTAAATGGGGCGGTCCATCCGATGAGACCGTATAAACCGAGGCCCCGTGTCACAGCAGGTGTGGCATGATAAAGATCCCTCCCTGCTCAAAGGCCGTAAGTGCCGAGCATATTCCTAAATTTGCAGCCCTTCACCAGCAATGGTGACGTCTCCATATCAGTGCAATATTCTGGAGAGGGACGTTAAACAGTATACAATCAATCAATCAATCAATCTTTCCTGGCTAAGTAGTTCTTGAGAAGAAGATATTTAAAGATTTTTCCAATATCTTCCTATGTAAAACTTGGGTCGGCCATTTTGGCCCAACCCTACCTCCAGGGGTCATGATTTGAAGAAACTTAAATCTACACTACCTTAGGATTATTCCACATGAGTTTCTTCTTTCCTGGTCCAATGGTTCTTGGGAAGAAGATTTTTAAAGATTTTTCCTATATCTTCCTATGTAAAAATTGGGTCGGCCATTTTGGCCCCATCCTAGCCCCGGGGGTCATGATTTGAATAAACTTGAATCTAAACTACTATGCACTAAAGGTCATGATTTGAATAAAGGAATCTAAACCTGAGGATGATTCCACATGAGTTTCATCTTTCCTGGCCCAGTGGTTCTTGAGAAGAAGATTTTTTAAAAATGCCATTATTTTTTTTCTAATTCATAATTATCTCCCCTTGGAAAAGGTTGTGGCCCTTCATCTGAAGAAACTTGAATCCCTTTCACCTAAGGATACTTTGTGGCAAGTTTGGTTGAAATTGGCACAGTGGTTCTTGAGAAGAAGATGAAAATGTGAAAAGTTAATGACAACGACGACAGACAACGATGACAGACAACGGACAAATTTTGATCAGAAAAGCTCACTTGAGCCTTCAGCTCAGGTGAGCTAAACAAGAGGCCCAGGGGCCACAGCGCTCACCTGAGCACATCGGGCTTGAATTTAACCCCCCCCCCTCCAGGCTTTCATCATTTGAACAAACTAGAATCAACACTACCTGAGGATGATTCCATATAAAAATCACTAATCATAGCTTTGAAGTACAGTGGACCTTCAGATATCTGGACGCCGGACGATTTTTCTTTGGAACGAAATTTTTAAATGTTATTCTATCTTGTTTAACTGGTGATTCAGATATCCGGATGCTTCACATATCCGGACAAATTGACTGGGAACCAAAGTGTCCGGATAAATGAGGGTCCACTGTACTTGAAAAGAAGATTTTAAAAGGTCTCCCTATATATCCCTATGTAAAACTTGGGTCGGCCATTTTGGCCCCATCCTAGCCCCGGGGATCATGATTTGAACAAACTTGAATCTACACTACCTGAGGATGATTCCACATGAGTTTCATCTTTCCTGGCCCAGTGGTTCTTGAGAAGGATTTTTAAAGATATTTCCTATATATTCTTATGTAAAACTTGGGTCGGCCATTTTGGACCTGCCCTAGCCCCGGGTCTCATGATTTGAACAAACTTGAATTTACACTACCTGAGGATGATTCCACATGAGTTTCATCTTTCCTGGCCCAGTGGTTCTTGAGAAGAAGATTTTTAAAGATTTTTCCTATATATTCCTATGTAAAACTTGAGTCGGCCATTTTGGCCCCACCCTTGCCCCGGGGGTCATGATTTGATCTACACTACCTGAGGATGATTCCACATGAGTTTCATCTTTCCTGGCCCAGTGGTTCTTGAGAAGAAGATTTTTAAAGATTTTTCCTATATATTCTTATGTAAAACTTGGGTCAGCCATTTTGGCCCCAGCCTTGCCCCGGGGGTCATGATTTGAACAAACTTGAATCTACACTACCTGAGGATGATTCCACATGAGTTTCATCTTTCCTGGCCCAGTGGTTCTTGAGAAGAAGATTTTTAAAGATTTTTCCTATATATTCCTATGTAAAACTTGGGTCGGCCATTTTGGCCCCGCCCTAGCCCTGGGGGTCATGATTTGAACAAACTTGAATCTACACTACCTGAGGATGATTCCACATGAGTTTCATCTTTCCTGGCCCAGTGGTTCTGGAGAAGAATATTTTTTAAAGATTTTTCCTATATATTCCTATGTAAAACTTGGGTCGGCCATTTTGGCCCCAGCCTTGCCCCGGGGGTCATGATTTGAACAAACTTGAATCTACACAACCTGAGGATGCTTCCACATGAGTTTCATCTTTCCTGGCCCAGCAGTTGTTGACAAGAAGATTTTTTAAAAATGCCATTAATTTTTAACAAATTCATGATTATCTCCCCTTGGAAAAGGGCACAGCCCTTCATTTGAACAAACTTGTATCCCCTTCACCCAAGGATACTTTGTGCCAAGTTTGGTTGAAATTGGCCCAGTGGTTCTTGAGAAGAAGATGAAAATGTGAAAAGTTTACGACGACGACAACGACTACAACGACAGACAACGGACAAATTTTGATCAGAAAAGCTCACTTGAGCCTTCGGCTCAGGTGAGCTAAAAAGCTGCAGCTAGCTTATAGAAAACAATTTGAGTACAGGATTGGGAGGATGAATCATAGTAATTTAAGAAAAAATTATCAGGCTTTATTATTAAAATCTAGTCTAATGATGAGAGTTTACAGTTAAGACCTCTCTCTCTCTCTCTCTCTCTCTCTCGATGTTTCTTGTATTTATTTTTAAATACACTGTATTTAGAAATATTTTTTAAAGATAATTTTTAATTCCATTAATGCGTGTCAGTGAAGTTGGGGGATATTAATATATTCTTAGCGGGTGAACGATTATTATTTGTCATTTTATTTTTTTTTCATTCTGATTAAAATCATACTCGCTCCATAATTCTGAGCGTGAAAAAGATCTGATATAATTTTTTTTAAAAAATGTCTGCTAAATATTTATTACGAACTTTTAATGTGTAACTACTATAAATAAAATCTACATATATAATGTGTAAAAGGTTACATGTAATTTATAGATGCGATATCATAATTCACGTGTTTGGCAAAGATTTAAACTAAGATTTAGCAAAACTTAAGGAATAAGAAATATAATTTTAAAATATATAACGCAAAGGAATTTTATTTAGATGCTAACATCAGTTTCACTTATACACCATTCAATACACTGAAAGTCAATTAAAACCTTTATTCTTCCTCTTCTGTTTTTTGTTTTTACCTTATAACTAAAGAAAAATAAATGCCTAATAACCCACTGTTTATTAATAACTTTGAACTTCTCGGGATCGAAAATCCGAGATCGGAGAAATCAAGAAAATAAATTATACATGTAAATCTATGTTGAATGTACAGTTGAATTTTGGAAAATTTATCAATGTTCTCCATAATGTCACTGTTTACAATTTTGATTTGATCGCCGCATAAACAACTTACAATGATCAATCCACAAACCCAGTACTGTATCGGAATATACAAGGGGCGGGGTCTAATGGCGGTGAGATTAAAGCAGGGTTCGCTTCACGCATCAGT